ACTCGTTTGATTCAAATCGGCTTCGGAAGTTAAACAAATATGTTAATATTAAGCTTCATATATATATATATATATATATATATATATATATATATATATATATATATATATATATACTATCATTGTTCGTTTACATCACTACTCATGAAATATAAATGCATGTATTAAACATGAGATACATACACTTGAATCTACATTCTGTCTCTCGTATAATTCATGTGTGTTCCCATTAGACTCATCACATAATTAAAGAAACTATATCATAGGAAGCTACAAATCCTAATTAGACTCTGAATTCTCGACTTCATTATATATCTTAGTAAGCTAAGAATCTTAATTAGACTCCGATTAGTATTCCCAACTTCATTATACATCATAATAAGCTACGAAGCCAAATTAGACTTTGTCTGGTATTCCTCCTAACTTCATTATATATCATAGTAATAGCTATAAATCCTAATTAGACTCGGTTTTTAGTATTCTGGACTCCATTATATATACATGGCAACTTCCTCCACTGTCTCCCATGAACTTGCACCTCTCTCTTTCTATGGATAGATCTCTCTCCAATCTATCTCATTCGTTAGACGCCATGGTGTTGGAGAAGGATGTGTGCGGCGCTGCTGGCTGCGGGATCGTCGACGAGCCCGGGATAGTCAACCTGTGCCCCGCCTGCTTTTGGGAGTTCATAGTGGAGAAGGAACCGCAGTGGCCGGCGGTCAGGCTCTTGCGTCCCGCCGCAGCAGGCGGAGCGACTCCGTCATCTTCGTCGGAGGAAGCAGCAAAGGAGGAGGTTCCGTCCCCAGCCGGCGCGGCGACGAGGTCGGACGGGAGGAGGACCGTCGTAGGTGCGGCGATGCCACGGCGTTCGATGGCCCCTCACCTTCGTGGGTGGAAGCGAGCTCGCATCGCTTCGTCATAGCCGACCGACTCTTTCCTTTAGTTTTCGTATGTCTTCGCTGAATAGAAGAGTGTTTTCTCTTATTGACGTAAAAATGCTACCTTTAGCAGAAGAAAGCTTTTTATTTTCTTTGTTAGGGCAATCTTTGCAGCCTTCAGAGGGACGAAGGTATTGATTGATACAATGCAACATGAGTCCCCATTTGAGTACATGCCAACAAAATTTCTAGGGCTTGACTTCCTCGAGCAATCAACCAACCATGTCTGCTAAACCATTGACTCGATTCGATTCTAGGTCAAACCAAAAGTCTACTCCTAATCTCGTCACACGGAAAAAGATTGTAATGAGCGAGAGCTTATCTTCGTAGAGATTATAGATTATGTTTCTCTCAATACGTCTCATGACAGATTTAGTCTCCGGAGGTGTTTTGGTTTCCCAATAACTCCTCACAAATCAGGAGACGATTCTTAATCGAAACAGGAAACGTCCATATCTTGTTAACCAAGAAATCCCAAATTGAATGGTATTGCTAGTTTTCGTCACTGCTAATGTGCCTCTAAACAGCATGATTTGTTCGTCCATAACAGTAAGTAAAACAAGATATTAGATATTTTTGGTCGTAATCACAGTGATAATAGAATTTTTCGAGTTAATTAAACATAAGGATTAATTAATTAATGAGATCTTATCGTGTTTTCCGTAGATAATTTAATATCACTGCTTTTTATTTTTGGACGGTGATTAAAGACTGAATCACGCTTTTCCCGTCAGGTTTGACATTATCTGCCACGTCACCCATGATAAATTTCCTGGGGATCCAACTAGACGGCGTTTTTGATGAGATAAACCTCTCTCTCGGGTCGTGAACGGTTGCGATTCAACGCGGTGTCGTCCCCATACTCTCGACTGCTTGTTTGGGGGTAATGAATGCCCCCTCTCTCCACCCCACCTCACCCCCTCGCCGCCCTCCTCCGCTCCTCCGCCCGGCGCCGGGATCGCACCGCTTGCCGAAAGCTCCACGCTCACCTCCTCAAGTCCGGCCTCCACCAACGACGTCCCTTTCCCTCCGCTCTCCTCGACGCCTATGCGAAGTCCGGCTTCCTCTCCGATGCCCGCTGCCTTTTCGATGAATCCTCCCACCGAGACGCCGTCCTCTATTCCGCCCTCCTATCCGCCCTCTCCCACTCCGATCGTCCTTCGCAGGCCTTGTCCCTCTTCCGCCGCATGGTTTCTGTGGACGCCGTCCCTCCTGATGGATTCATCTTCGCAACCCTCGTCAAGACCTGTTCTCGTATCGGCTCCCTTCGCCTCGGCAAGCAAGCCCATGCGCAGTTCCTTCTATCTTCATTCTTTACGGATGATGTTGTCAGGTCCTCGCTCGTTGACATGTATTCTAAGTGCTGTGCTGTTGATGACGCTCGAAAAGTCTTTGATACAGTACCAGATAAGAATCACGTCTGCTGGACGGCTATGGTGTCCGGATATGCTTCCAATGGTCGGAAGTCAGAAGCTTTGGGGCTTTTCTGGCAGATGCCACGGAGGGATCTCTTTGCTTGGACGGCTTTGATATCTGGGTTCCTCCAAAGTGGTGATAGTTTTGATGCCGTCAAGTTATTTGTGGAAATGAGGAGGAACCAAGTGGAAATTGACGATTCTTTTGTTCTCTCGACGGTTGTTGGTGCTTCTTCTGATTTGGCAGCTCTTGAATTGGGTAGGCAACTCCATGGTTTAGTGTTGGCACTTGGGTACAAATCAAGCATGATTCTGGGAAATGCACTTGTTGACATGTATGCAAAGTGCAGCGATATTCGCTCTGCAAGAGCTGTTTTTGAAGGACTTGTCATGCGAGATGTTATTTCCTGGACAACTATGGTTGTTGGGGAAGCACAACATGGTAGAGCCGACGATGCATTGGATCTGTATGATAAGATGGTCCTTGCTGGGGTGAAGCCAAATGAAGTGACCTTTACTGGGTTGATTTATGCTTGTAGCCATGCTGGACTAGTCCAGAAAGGCCGGGAGTTGTTTGATTCCATGGAGCAGGATCATGGCATTAGGCCCTCGTTGCAACATTATACATGCTTGTTGGATCTTCTTAGTCGGTCTGGGCATCTAACTGAAGCAGAAAATGTCATTAATTCAATGCCATATGTGCCTGATGAAGCTAGTTGGGGAGCTTTGTTGAGTGCATGTAAAAAGCAGGGTGATACCTCAATGAGCATAAGGATGGCTGACCGGTTGTTGGGGTTGAAACCCAAAGACCCTTCAACTTACATCTTGTTGTCTAATACATATGCTGCCGCTGGCAAATGGGATAGTGTGGCTAGCGTGAGGAAGCTGATGGCTGAAATGGATGTCAAGAAAGAGCCTGGTTACAGTTGGATTGACTTGGGCAAAGAGAGCTGTTTGTTTCGGGCTGGGGAAGTGCCATATACTATGAGACATGAGATCATCAGATTGCTTAATGAATTGGCCAATGAGATGAATAAGAGAGGGTATGTTCCAGATACAAGGTCTGTTATGCATGATGTGGAAGAGAACGAGAAAGAGCAACAACTTTTTATGCATAGTGAGAGATTAGCAGTTGCCTTTGGGCTTCTCAAGTCAATTCCAGGAACAACAATCCGGGTGATTAAGAACCTTCGCATTTGCCTCGACTGTCATAATGTTCTAAAATTGATCAGTGAAATTACTGGGAGGGAAATTGTTGTCCGAGATGCAAATAGGTTCCACCATTTCGAGGTTGGAAAGTGCTCTTGTGGAGATTTCTGGTGACACCATATCTCGTAATGCTGTAATAATATACCTGGTCATAAGAAAGCAAGCATGCTACAGGTGTCACCGTTAAGAGCTTCAATTAAAAGGTATTGCTTATTGATAGGTTTATATGTTTATAGATTTATATTTTTTTTGTTTTAAGTGATTGATAGTATTTTCTTGATGCTGGAAAATGTATCTTTTGGAATTTGCCTTCTGGGAGTTCAAACTAAACTGGTATGTTGAGTGAGATGAAAAAGTATTATTTTATTGATAGCAATTAAGAGAATCATATAATTTAAACTTTATTTGATAGTTGATCTGCGTATAGCTGAAGAGGGAACATCAACTGAAGTTTTGTGTGGCTTGCTCAATGTCAAACTGTGGCCCCATATATGAAATATTAGTGTGTATGACGTGGGTTTAAAATGTGTTGGCAACTAACTTGTTCCTAGACCCCGCATTGGTGGGAACCTCGTGCATTAGATACGTCTTTTTTCTCAGATTTCACAAGATAACTATGCTAGGTATCCTAATCAAGTAATTCTATTTTCTTATTTTTAGACCATGAATAGGACAAGGTGGAGTGTGGCCCTGGATGCCACCATGAATTTTCTACTCTATGACCTGTTCCCCCACTTCATCTAGAGCTCCTTCATCTTGTCTTGCATATTGGCATCTTTTCAGTACTCATATTTTATGTTGAAATATAATTGTTTGTCATTTTAAGATAATGCTATTGTTGATGAATGATTGTCCCAAGCTTGTGCTTGATTGATTTGCATGGTGCTATTTTCTTATGTGCTTAAGATGATGATGCTTTAATCGAGTTTGCTATTGTGCATGATGGACACCATAGAGAATCATATTCCTTTAATTGTTGGAATCATAAATCACTTTGTGAATCCTCATGGTGGGGATGCATGATGACAATTGACAACCATTCATTTTCACAAATCGAATGCAGTTCTTATCTACTTGTTTCACTGATTGCCATTGTTGTTCATAAACGTCATTAATTTTGATGATCTCCATGTCATGATTGATAGTATCAGAATTTTTCTTGCAAGTAGAAAGAGTTATAGAACAAGTAGGTGGAGTTTGTCTGATTGATCTTTTGAGCACATATTCTTGAAATAGAAGCAGGAACTTTTTTCCTTTTGCGAGAAAGTGAGTAGTGATAAATTCTATGGGTAATTACTTGTGGAGTGAGCATTAGGGCCTATCTCTACTAGAGATAGGTTTTGAGTCTTTTGATAAATATTTGGTATTCTTCTCGGATGTGTATGAAATTTTCTCTAAATAACTAAAAAAAGATTAAAACATATCTAAAAATCTATTAAGTTGAACTTTCCTGCCATATTGTGCAACAATCACTAAAAGATCACCCTAAGACAGTTCAAAGAGTACAGTTAAAAGATCACTAAAAAAAGATTGCCGAACTCTATTGCCTAACACATCTGCGAAAAACTGAAATTTTCCATCCAATACAAAGAGTGCATTTGACTCATTCTTTCATACAGTTCAATGATATTTTTAAAAAGAGTTCCAAAATAAAACAGCAGCAAGATAATGTTATAATTATATTCCTCTAGGAAACTGAGTTTTATTTTAGATCATATGGTGGACTATGCTGTTGAGTTGCTTAACAACAAAATGAGCATTTTCTTCTTGGTCTTCATTTTTATCTTGTACTTGACTTTGTAAGAAAATGTAATTCTGTAGTTGACTGTAATAATTCGTTCTATAATGTAAAAAACAGTGTTTCTCTCTTAGAATGTTAGAGCCGGCCTGATATCTGCTAACTTGATGTTCCATTGGCTGTTTGACTGTAGGTGCTTAATGTCATAAAAGTTTGCCACAAAAATGCTCTCTTCTGTTATCAGAAAGGATAAGAGTGCAAGTGCATGATAAGAAAAAGAAATGGGAACATGTAAGTACTAGCATGATGATTTTTTTTCCTTTGAACTCATGTTGAACTTCTATAGCAAATGATTTATATGTATCATCTGCCACATTCTTCTCTCTAAGAAGGCAAACACTGTAAATATACCTCTGTAAATATCTTTTTTTCTTTTAGAATTATTCTTTTAAGGAATTTGAGCCACAGTAGAATTACAATAAAGTTATCAATTCAACACTAATTGGACTCAAAAACTGAAAACATATCATATGAATGCAAATACTTTCACATAGAACCATATTCTTCAACATTCTCTCTTATATTTCAGTTTTTAAACTCATGTACATCTTTCAAGTTTGTAGTGTAATTTTTTTTCACCTGACTTTAGTGTCACCGTATAAGTTTAGTTGTAAGCCAACTCCAATATATATTACTAGACTTTTCTAATCCTTAGCAATAAAAAAAAAACCAATCTTTTACTTATTTGTCATCTCACAATAAATATGCAATGCATAGATGACCAACAATATATATCATAGTTGAATTGCAACATTATGATGGATCTTACTAACAAATATTAAGACTGTGCAGTTTAATTCAGTATCATTGTAATGCATATTTAACCATTGCATTAGTTCCTCATATGAAACTTGATTCTTCACCTCTAATCTCAAATCATTACTCATCACTTGTCTCATTTGTATGGCCAAAAGGATATGGACATGAAGCTAATTAATGCAGTTCCACCTCTACATTGATTGTTCCTGGCTTTACCTTCATTGGTCTTTCTCTTTAGACATCCTCCAAGAAGTTGACAAGCTGTCAGCTATAAAGGAAGCTTTATCTGCAAAATTCATCATGTTATTTGGCGTCAAGCTGGAAAGTGAAAGAAACCTCTAATCATAAAGCATATCAGTGTAGCCCTCCCTCCCTTTAAAGATCATTCATAAACCTATCGTTAGAGAGTAACGTTTCAGTAGTCCTGTCTCACCAACAAGGCTTGTAATATCTTTTCTAGGCTTTCTTCATGTAATATCTGTTAAATTAATCATATTATATATTTTTTGCTAAAAATTAATATTATCACATAGTAACTTATTCATCCAAAATCACTAACTCAATATGTTTAAATAATTAATATTAATAGACTCATCTAATCCTATAAATCATCGTAATTACTTTTTATTTTAAATGTATTGTATTATCGACATATTTATTGAAGGACTCGAGATTCTATCAAAATTATGCTCTAAACATCTAGTCAACAACGTCATAATAATTTGTTTATGTCATGATGTATCTTCGATGTGATTCATTTGAAGATAATTAGAAGAGGTGGGATGATTAATATTAGTGGTATGAAGAGAGATAGAAGAAGATGTAAAACGATTTCAGTATAAACTATAAATAAAAATTTAAATACTCTAAATTTAATTAAATATATAATTTTTTATATATCTTAATAACGATAAAGGATGACAACTTTTGTTGTTATATGCAAATTTATGTATGAATAAGAAAAAAAATCTTCCCTACACTTTTGACCTAAACAGTGCTTATATCTGAACTTAAATATGTATATGACAATGGATAGCCATGAATTAAATGGGTAGAAGGTGAGAATGGTAGTTGGCATTTCAGCTTTACAAGATTGTAATATCAGTGGCTCTAAGAACACAATAGAATAGACATGCAATGTTGGAATTGATTTCTTTTAGGTAAAGTGTTGTTTATCTCCTGCATTATTATTGTCTAAAGTGGAAGAAAAACTACAATATTCATATATGTCATAATATAAAGCACTCATGTTTGTGGCACATCCTAAACTTAAATATGTATATGACAATTGTTAGCGCATTCCATCTTAACTTTGTGAGTTCAACATCAAAATATACCTAGAAAGGTTACTTTTTATATTGTTAGTTTTGTAATAATATTATTATTTTTTCCTTGGATGCTATTCTAATGTGGCACATCCAATAGGTACTTAGTCATGACATGCTTTGTCATATATATATATATATATATATATATATATATATATATATAAGCCTATGTGATGAGTCTTGATTGACTTGACATCATATGTCAAGAATCATTTGCTTGTGCTTAAGGAAAATGACTTGTCTTGGAGTATAATGTTAATATCATGACTTCGGTATGCGTTGTCTATATATAAATGATTAAGTAATGTCTCATATATAATAGTTTTTGGTTATAAGTGGATGCATCTGCGATGATGATTGTATGGACGCATTAGATTTTTTTTATCATATTATAATGTTTTGATAATTTCAACTATGAATTTTTTTAGGTTTATTATATATAAGATGATGCTTTGGATTTTTTTTTTTTTATCTTAAGTAGATGTATCATGCAAGAGGATACATCGAGTGATTAGATAATTTTTTATCCTTTTTAGTTCTATAGATCATATGTCCGTCAGATCTTCTTTACCATTAGAAACGTAATTTGAAACTCACATGTTTCGAAAAGAATAAAATCGTACGAATACACCCATCGTCTAAAATAAATAATTTCTCACGAGCTAACGGATCATACCAATATCGACCGGCCAAATGGTCCATTATAAAATAAAAAAAAAATCATTCCAAATTACCTGCCCATTGGAAATGCCGTAAGCTTACTTAGCAAACAAGCCACATTGCAGCGGAAGAAACAATGTGCTTCTTCTAATCGACCGCCGCTTCCTCTCGTCTCTCTCCCTCTCTACCGCCGTGGAAGCCACGTTCCGGAGTTGCTTTCACGCCATCTCCGTCTCCCCTCTCATCAACTCGTCCACTGTCCTCCACCCCGCACCGTTCACCGCCCGTCGCGCCACGTTTCAGTACGCCATTCGCCCCAAACGGGGGTCCCGGCTCCTCCGGCCAATCACCACTCGACACGCCTTCGCGGAACCTGTTCGCTGGTCGAGGCAATTATATAGAAAAGCAATGCGAATCCATCCTACAGAGAAAGATAAGCATGCGAGGTTGGTCTCATCACACTAGCATAAAATGTTGTGGTAGCCAAAGAATTATCGCCAATATCTTATCGAGTATGGACAAGTAGGCAATTAATTATTTGGAATGGTGTTACAAGGATAGGGATTAGGTTGATCACCATCAAGAAAGAAGGTTTTGGATCCTCCATATGGTTGGTTGATCGATTCATTCATTCCTTACTCAACACAAGTTTATCTATCTTTCATAATTCCAACCACAAGTTTCCATATGATTGCATTGTGGATGTGAAAATTGATACTTGGATTACAAATAAGGAATGGTTTGTAGAGAACACAACCAAGTCTTATTTCATTGGAATTGAGATTTTGACATGAAATGATACATGTTATAAATTTATCTCTAAAGATTACACACTTTGGATATATTATTTATTTTGATTCAAACCATCACTTTAAACTATTTTGATATGTTTATTTGACTCCTCATGTAAAAATGATAAGCCTATTTAGTTTCCTATTTTAAAAATATTTTTAACTCTCAAGTTAATTGTTAAACAAATGTGATGTATGGTGGATCTAAATATATGATGGATGTTGAAAATTATATGAAATATGTAGGAACAAATACACTATTTCTAAGCTTTCAAAGGATAAAAAAATTGTTATATATCATTATGCCTTTTATATTTATGAAAAACCATATATATATATGATATGATATGATATGATATGATATGATATATACCATATCTTTATGTGCCCATTAGGATGTACTTCATGAACATTCATCAACTAAGTCCAAGTTTATTTTAGAATAACTAAATCAAAGTAAAATGCTAAATTTATGTAATCATAGTCAGTTTAAAGATAAATTAATGTAAAAACTTTAATTTACATTAATATTTTTTAAAAAATATTATAATACTAAACAAATTAAGAATGATTCAGATATTTTATATTTGTATATATCTAGTTAATAAAGACAAATTAATCTTATTAGGATCACAAATGCCTAAAGACAGTGGTACATATATGATCTTGATATTTGGAGGGATATATAAGTATATAATAATTTATAATGAGGATATATATATATAATATCATTTCTGGTGTCATATATATTTTATTTTAATATTCTTTTATGCACCATATGGCCATCCAAAAGATGGTGATCAGCCAATAACTACAACTAGATGTTAATCTTTCATTATCACTGGATTAATATATGCTAAGACTCCTCCTTTACTAAGTCTTTACCTTGTGGCCCTCTCACTTTGTAGTTTCTACCACCCCACCCCCTAGCGTTGACCACCACCAATGGTTGACCTTATTACTTTCTCATCTAGATTTTGCACCACAAGATGACACATTGACCATGTCCATTGTCTTTTGGGTGTTTGAACACTATCCAATGTATCACACATTGACCAATTGACCAATTGCTCTTCCTTTTCCCACCACACAAAATCTTTATGAGTTCCTTTCTTTTTCTTAAAACATTTTAATCATTTATTGGAAAAGCACAAGTTAAGGAGATAGATTTAGTGTTATCATACATCATATATGAATTCTTTTTTGTTTACAGTGAAAATTATATGATGATGACTTAAAGAAAGGAAATAAATATAACATTAATTATCAAAAAAAATCTTAACTATATCATTAAGGATTCTTCTCAACATATTATGACAAGTCAAAATTCAAGTTCAAATATATATATATATATATATATATATATATATATATTTTAGTGCCAAAAAATAATTAAAATGGATTGAGAAAAAAAATATATAGGGACAAAAATTTATACATGTTAGTCAATGATTAAAGTGATATTATATTCACCTAAATCATTACAGAAACAACTAATTATACACTTTAAATTAATCCAACTTTTTGTTTTCTGATCAGCCAATTTTCTTCCACAAATCAAAAAGTGTTTTTTCGAAAATATTAATAAAAAAGAGAGTAAAAAATGTAAGCCCACCCAAAGCCCGCATAGATTTGATATGCGACGCTCATCATTGCAAGAACTACCCGCATAGTTCCTCAATGCGACGCCATTATTACAATAACCCCCTAAATGACTAAAAAACCCTTACGTCCCTTCTGCTGGTTTGTGCCTTGTGGTTTGCCAATCCCACTGCGGTCGGTCGGTAGTTTTATGGATTGCTTAGTCTTTTTAGGTAATTTGATAATTGTCGTTTATAGTTCATTTTATTTATTTATTGTGTGGGGACCTATCGCTTCGCTTCCTCCGGTGCTTTCCACCACCCTCGCTTTCATCTTCCTCTTCTGCGCTCCTCCAAATCCCTCGCCTTTGTCTTCCGATTGAAGCAACTCCCCTCCTCCGCCTTCCTCCGAGATCGTCTCCTGCTGCAAGGTCCGCCCTTCGAAATCGTTCCTTGATGTGCCCCCGCCTCGATGGTGCGCGATCCCCTCCTCCCTCTCTGTTTCGGGCTCTCTCTTGGGCTGTCATCGTGTCGATGCATTGTGTTATTTGGGGCCGGTTTTGATCGGTTCCTCGATGACTTGAAGCCTCTTCCTTGCCTTTTTTTATTCTTTTCCCTTGGTTTTAAGGATCGATTTTTTTCCTTCCTTTGATAAAGATGTTATACTGGCTCTCGAAACGAATCTTTTCTCGATTGCATTTTTTTTGTCGCAGTTGATCTTGGCTTTGTAATCCGAAGGTTGCTTCTTTTCGTTTGATCGGTAAGTCACGTGAGAAAGAAGTCTTCCTTTTTCCCCCTTTCCGTGTTGCTGTCGAGTGAGTTGCAACGTCTTGCTGCTTATTCTTCTTTTTAGCTTTTGCTGTTGGAAGTGAATTCCTTCTTCGTTTTCGCAATCGAGTTGGTTACGTTGGATTCGATGGACTCGTCGCTCATGCTAAAATCTTGATGTGGTATCGTTGGTACGGCAAAAGGGGATCGGTCTTGGTCCACCAAATTGAAATATATTGCACCGTTTTTTATTATCATCGACAGTTTTAAAGCATGCAAGTGAAAAAGATTATATGAGAGAAATTAATAGTGTGTCTTAACCTTTTCTTCTTCTTCTTGCTTGACGATGACTCCTTTTTTTTCCTGTTAGAAGTAAATTTCTTTTCTTGTTTGGGGAGTTGAGTAGGTTGTGTTGGATTTGATGGACTAATCTCTCGTGCTAAAGAGTTGTTGTATCGTTGGAGCGGTTAAAGGGGATCGTTCTTGATCCATTAAATCAAAATAGATTGGACCCTTTCGTTGATTGAGAACGTTATGTACGGTTTCTTAAGCGCATATAAATGCACAAGATATGTGAATGAGATTACTCGTTTGATTGATGTTTTCCTTTTTTGTATCCCTTATATCTGTCTATATCACACATTGATATGCTGGGTTTGCTAGCTGACTCTATTTCAAATTAATGGATCATAATTTTTTTAGCTTGTACTTTCTATTTTGAATTTATGCCTGTGATTTGGTCACACTGCAGGTCAATTATCCCAGTTCGGACCAACTGGGAAATACTTCCAGATAAATGGACCAAATCTGCTGTAGTTTCAGGGTATCTATTTGGTTGGGCACTTTTTTGGTTGTAGTGTTGGGGGAGGTGTTGCATACTGGTCTTGTTCGATGCAGATGATAATAGTTGATTACATCTTGTGGAGGCTGCCATAAGCATGTCAATCATGTTTTGGGTGATGCATTATCACTCATGTCATGACAGCAGTTTTTTTTACAGTTATGTAAGTACATATGCAATCGGCAATGCCTACCTACAAGTTGGTGGAATTCACTGCGAAGCTGGTACAGAGCCTCATATTTTAAGTTCTTTGGGAGTTAAGTGATAAGGTCTTTCTTGTTTGCTGGGAAAGCTTCATTATGGAAAAGTAAGTAAATCACCACTGCATTTTCTTAATCTAATTTTCATGTCAGGCTGGGGCTTATATTGTCATTTGCTGTCAATGTCTTTTAGGTATAGACTGATAAAGGAGATTGGAGATGGAACCTGTGGAAATGTTTATAAAGCACTCAATAGAGAAAATAGTGAGATAGTAAGTGCTGAACTTTCCATCAGATGAAGGCACCTTCTGAGCAACACTCAGCTTACCAGTTATCTTTTATTTTCAGTTGTTTTTTTCCCAATATTACATGGTATATAGTATATACGAATCTGCTGTTGGAAATGGGAAATCAACGAAAATGAAACTATTCTATTATTACTGACCGAGAGTCCATTCTTATGAATCTATAACAAAAAAAAAATCGCTACATTTGATGAACTTGTTGTCGGATAGACCAAACTGAGGAATGTGTTTGGCATGTGTTTTAAAACATGATGAATGGATTGGCATGCAGAACTAAGGATCTAGAGAATTCTTTTGTCTGGGTCATCCAGAACCTCAAACAAATAAAAAGCCTTGGCTAAAGCACAAAAACTGTTAAAGGAATGTTTCATCAAGTACACCACTGGCAGCACCCACTTCTGCTGTTTAGTCAGCTGGGCAGACATACAGAGAGCCGCTACTTGATTGATCTCTCTCTGGTCCTCCATGTCACCATGTCACTGATTCCTTCTGGGGGAATACCTTCACCCCTTATTTACTGGTTGACTCATAATAGACCTGAAAGTAAACTTGGAAATTTGTCTTGATTGCTAGAATGGGTTAGCATCTTGTTTTGTTTTACAATCAGTGTTTTTGAATTAATTTGGAATCATTTTTGTCAGCAACATTTTCAAAATTTTAGATAACTGATATTTCTTTGGTCACTGAATCTGAGAACTTTATGTCAGGTTGCCATCAAGAAAATGAAGAGAAAGTTCTACTTCTGGGAGGAATGCATGAATCTACGTGAAGCTAAGGTGTATCTCATGTTATATTTTGGAACCTCGCGATACTGCTTTTGTGGCTTATTCTGAACTAATCATGTGGTTCGTGAAATTTAAAGAAATTATTATGTTTTGGCAGTCTCTTCGTAAGTTGAATCATCCCAACATTGTCAATTTGAAGGAGATCATTAGAGAAAATCATGAGCTTTTCTTTATTTTTGAACATATGGTGAGTGGTCTACCTTTCATCTTGAAGTAAGAAGAATTATATGTTTGTTTCAGTAACAGGAAGGATAATACCATGATGCTGATTTAGGAAGATGAAAGAAATTGGTTTTGTTTGATCTGGGAACTTCTTTAAATTTTTAGAATTTAGGACTCACAGTGTCTTTTTTTTATTTATAACTTATTCACACTGATTTAGAGTGAGAAACAGTTAGCATATTATAATAATCTCAAATTGAAATCTTTAAATATCTGAAAGTGTCTGTTTCTAGTCATGTAGTGTATCTATTCTGTTTTTTGACCTTATAACCTACAATTTAGATATTCTTCATATCTGTAGTCTATCTCCTTTGTATTTGTAGTCTTTTCGAAATTATGCTTCTACTGCACCCTGTTTCCTGGTCAAAGCTCACACTTAATTAATCGGGCCAGATTGGGCCAATGCACCATGGGTCTGGGTTGAAACTGACATTTTTTAGTTTTTTGTAATGTGTGCAAATACAAGATCTTTTCCTTGTAACAAGATTTGATCAGCCATTACACTCTCCATGAATGTTTTCTTCCAGGAATATGAGGTTATTATGCCAATTGTTATTTGTTCCATCGGACATTATCTGATATGAATACCAAATTTCATCATTTTCAATCTTCTAAATTTCCATTGTCCAAAATCTCATTGCTTTTGAATTAATGTGTCCAGGATCATAACCTATACCAGGTCATGAGAGATCGACGAACTCCTTTTTCTGAGTGGGAGATACGGAGCCTCATGTCACAAGTATTGCAAGGTCTTGCATACATGCATAAGAATGGATACTTTCATCGGGATCTAAAACCTGGTATTTGTTCAGTGTCATTTGGTCAGATTATGTTGTTTGCAATCAAAAGCTTATAAGGTACTCATTGCTCTCAGAGAATCTTTTGGTGACTCGTGATTTAATCAAAATTGCGGATTTTGGATTGGCAAGAGAAGTAATGTCAGAGCCTCCATATACTGAATATGTTTCTACAAGATGGTAAAAAAAAGACATTCAGTTGATATAATAAGTTACAATCCAGAAAATGTAAACTGACATGATGATGAGTTACTGTAGGGTTTATAATTATCTGACTGGTAGTTGATTATTTCTGTCAAGGTATCGGGCCCCTGAGGTGTTATTGAAATCTTCGTCGTACACCCCTGCAATTGGTAGCTAATGATTGTTCCTTGCTGGTTCTTCTCTCATTTGTTTGTTCTTGATTTTTGATTTTTACAATTTGTCATTCTTTGTTGGTTTCATATGTTTTCCATTGATATAAGATCAGTACTTTTCCTGCATACATTTGACATAGTTCATAAGATCTTAAAATATATTATTCTCATTTAGACATTGTGTTCATAACTTCATATATGTTGGTCCCTGGAACTTGGTTGCCTAGGTCAGTTTGCTTTTACCAATGAACTTGATAGGATTTATAACCCAGGAAAATCATGAAATATCCTTAGCTAGCTTCTACATTTGTAGTGTCCAAGATTTTTGACCATTTAATATGTTGAAGAGATACGGTAAGCTTGATTCAGTGGACCAGTTTTGGAGTTTCTCAGATAAACAAGGTGTATGAAGTGATCTTTTACTTAATGATTCACTCTTTTGAGTGATCTACATCTCCTTAATAATTTAGCAAAATATTTGTTTCAAAGATCTTTTACCTATTCATTAAGCCACTAAAAAATTGAATTGTACCTAACAGATTGGTACGAGAAAATAAGTTTTAGAACATACGCACGTGAATTCTCAATTGCTGATGTCAACATAAACATGTTAAATGGGCAAATTTATTATTTCAACTGCACTGGTACTTCTATCTCCCTTGTCAAATGAAAAAAATTGTTCTGCAAAGCTTTCTTTTTTATGCCTCCCAGTTTGAGAGAAATCCCTCTGAAATCAAACAAGTATTTGTGGGTATTTTAAAAGATATATGCTACTCTGAACAGCATGATCATTACTTTGGGGCTGCTAAGTATATTAATTTTAACTTTTCATATCCACCCTCAACTCCATTGCTGGAGTTGAGTTTGCTTCATCTACATGACTATTATAATCAATTGATGATCTTTGGAATTAGATGGAATAGTTTTGTGGGCATTGTCTTAAACCAAACATTGAAGTTCTTTATGCCAAGCATAAAGTATAACAAGGTGAGATTGCCATGCTACATGGGTGCTTCGTATGACACAAATCTACTTGTATCAACAAGGATTGTAACTAGTAATGCATGACCTGCACCCAAGTCTCATAATTTTTTCTTCGTGGCATTATATGTGACTGCTAGTTCACAGCAAGACATCCATCCAAAAGGTGGAAAATGAGTTCTAGTTGACTCTTTCGCGGTATCTGATGATGTTGTAACATCCACATGTTTGAACCTTCAATAATTCAGCTGACCTTTGTGACATAATCTGCCCAGGGTACATACAAATATAACAGTACATGTAAACAGCTGATTTACGAAGTTCCAAACTGAATTTCTACATACTAGTAGTCAGTTGTTTGCTCTTGAATGGTCATATTTTGAAGTGAATAAGTTATAGATCAATGTTTTTACAGATATGTGGGCTGTCGGTGCGATACTAGCAGAGCTTTTTATGCTGTCTCCACTTTTCCCTGGTGAAAGGTGAAAATCCAAACCTCTAATTCTCAAGTAAAAGCAAGCATTTTTGAACATTGATAAATTCTCCAAATGTACACATGGATTGACATACAGGATGTTGAAAAAATATGCTTTGTCACTGTTGGTACATGTTGCCACGTATATCTTATTCATCATTTGGTTTCATTGATAGAACTTTTTTTTGTAAAGTGTTGACCTCTAATATCTTTTGGTGCTTTATTTTCTGCATAATTTCTGTCACTTATATAACCCATAGGTGACTATGCTCTTCATTTTTAACTTTCCAACGATGCTTATCTTCCTGTAAACTACACAAAAATCTTTCTTTAAGTTTTGATTTAAGGCCACTACAAAATTTTTCTGCTTACGAGTACTCTGAAATTTCTTGTATACGTGGGCTACTCGATGCACACTAGAACCTGTACATATTTCTGTTCCCTGAATGTCCTGTTTAGTTAATTCTCACTATTTTCTGCACAGTGAGATAGATCAGATATACAGAATATGCACCATTCTTGGGACTCCAGATAACTCTGTTTGGCCAGAAGGGATGGTCCTTGAACGATCTGTCTATTTTAACTTCTTTCAGGTGTAAATCTATGTATTTTCCAATATATTTTAGTTCTTCGTTGTGTTCTGTATATGATAACTTTGTTTTCTATCCCATGAAATAGTTTCGGCCTGCCAATCTCTCAGATATTATTCCTAATGCCAGCTTGGAAGCAATTGATTTGATCCTGGTTGGCTCTTCTAATTCTTATTTCCTCTTATTCTTCCATTTTATTTATAAGTTCTGGATCATTCTTTTACAGTAATGGTGTTTTCTATATGTAGCAACTTTGCTCCTGGGACCCACAAAGGCGGCCAACTGCCGAGCAGTCATTACAACACCCTTTCTTCCATGTAATGTCCCAGATACTCGATTGTGCTTTGACTCTAATTGAGACAGCTCTCATCTATGTATGTCCCTTCAGGTTGGCACGTGGGTTCCATGTCCTCTTCAGGATTCTTCTCAACTAAAGAAAAAACAAACTGGTGAGCTGCCAGTGAAAAATGATTTGAAGGTAATAGGCTTACACACTGATATCAAACTTATTCACACTTTTGTTTTTTGTAGGAGATAAGCCAAAGCTTGAATTGAATCTATGGGATTTTGGCACAGAATCAGACGATTGCTTTCTTGGTTTAACATTAGCAGTCAAGCCTAGTATTCCTGACAGAGGTGATTTATAATAACCTTGCCTTTCCTCCCAGGTTTTTTTTCTATAATATCTCAGTAGTGATTCTTTGAATTTTGATTTTCAGACAGGGAGGGTATATTATTGACCACTAATTATAAATCTAGTAGATTCTGTCTAAACTCTCTATGTTGATAGTTAACCAGTTTTATGTTTTTACTATGTAATCCCGACATTATTGGGGTGGAAGAGAAGTTCCCAAAATATATTTTTCATCGCGGTCTTCCTATGATTTTTCTTTCTAGTGACTTAAGGGCTTAGTTCCTAGAAAGTTTGTGGAGATTTTTCATCTCTGCCTTGACTCCTATTGAAATTAATTTGATGTAGCTTGTAATTTTGTTTGTTCATCTCTATTAAGTTATTGTGCTTGTGCCTCAGTTCTAACTACTTTTATCTTTTTAATTTTCTTGCAGAGGTTGGAAACCATGTTTTGCAACAACCAAGTGAGGTAAATAAGCAGCAGCTGCGCTAGACATATACAAGTTCATGCACGCACTCAAACAATCCAAACATGCATGCAAGAACAGATTTGCATGATTACTAAAAGTATCCATATGCTGTCTTCTGATCAACCATCATTTCTGCAATTTTTTCGCGTGCAGGACTTCTTGTTTTACACCAGATATCAGGACCACTCTAGTCAATCAGGTTACTCTCAGTTCTGATTGTGTTATGTGCAGATTACTCTGGCTAATAATTGGTAGTATAAGTCAATGAAATCACGAAGGAGTGGCTTCAAAAGCTCAATTGGGGATCTGTTGTTTTTTTTTAACTTTGTTTTTGTTTAGAGAAAGTGCAACAATCGGTCGTCTATTATATATGGATACTCTCTCTTTGGAGTATTTGCATGCTTGTGTAAACGAGCAAGTATGCTAATATGGGCATCAACTGGAAAGCCTCTTTATAGCTTCTAGGGCTGCCGAATTTATGCAGGAAGCTGAGGATATGTGGATTTGACTATTTGTCTGTGTTGAAGTCAAATTTAGGGCCACAAATCTTGTCTTTCATGGCTTCTATGAATTGGACATGGTTGCTCTAATGATAATAAGTGAATGAAAGTTGGATCTTGTTCTTAGCCATATCATTCGTGCCCTATATTATTTTATGGCTTATCTTTTGGTCTCTCTCTCTCTCTCTCTCTCTCTCTCTCTCTCTTTGTGCTTTGGTAAACAGCTAATGCTTCACCATTTCTTTCCTATTTTACATTGATCAACAATTCTATTATATAATTTGCAAGTTTCCATTTGAAGCCACTTTCGTGTCATCTTGATTGCTGGAGTATGAAGGATTTCTGTGTCATCGTTGTGTCCTTTAGCCTGTCTTGGCCAGATTCAACTTTGCATTGCTATAGTCAATCGTTTTCTTCACCTTCTTCAGCTTCATTGTTTGTCATCATATCATGGCCCTTGACTGCTTGCTTTGCAATGTAAAGATCTCATTAATTTTGTTTGCAAATATTTGCTTTAAGGACTGAGTATTCAAACTCCATGAATGTCAATTGGGGGGTTGATGTTGGTCAATTTCTTTTGAACATCCATATATTTGTTAATTGGTTCACGTTACCTTATGCTTTGTTTACGGTATAATTATTTAAGTTATGCACCTTTTTAGTCGGTCCTTGCTTATCATGGGCTTTTATGTACTTGCAATTTTACTTGAATGGAATTGGCTACACTTATTTTGTAAATTTTAGGAGGATGTTCACTTGGTTCTTTTTTCTTGATCTGGTTCAGTCTTTTGGCCCTTGTTATCCTCAGATCATAACATCAATGATGTGAGAAACATATCTTCCTTACCATCACCATACATGCTAAGCAGGTAACGTTCTTGTGATTTCCAAGCACGATATGCTTGAATGTTGGTCTGTATGCTTGATTAATTGGAAAACTGGTTCTTGACTTGCTTGTTCTTAGCCAAGCTTCCTTAATGACGGTTGGCGTTCCAGAATCATCCGCGTTTGCGTTCCCTGCAGTGCAGCCAAACCTACTGGACAACAGCGCATTTGGACCAATGATGTCTCTTTCTTCGCCCATCCAGCATGGTCGCTTGTTCGAGTAACCACCTTTTGGACTTTTTCTTTTTCTCTTTCTTCAATTTTTTTTTTACAATTATACAAAAGATTGGCATTTGAGACGGTCAAATAAGCGGATGAGTAGATGTGGAAACTGTTGATGTAGTTTGCTATTTTTGTAGAGAATGATCTACAGAATAAGAGACCCTTCTGTACATATCAGTGAAATATAATGGAACTGTGACAAACTGATGAATGATAAGAAGAAGATTCATGTTGGACCTTAGATGTGTACTCTTTTCAGTTCTGTGGTTTCTTCAGATGCTTTTGAGCACATTTCTACTGGTTTATGTAACATTTAAATTGCCAAAGCAGTTTCATCAATGGTGATTGGGCCTGGCACATCCTGTGAATTCTACCAATAGATTTGCATGTTGATTGTGCCTTTTCACATCCTGTGAATTCTACCAACAGATTTGCATGTCAGGATTCAACATTTAGTGGCATGCTTCAGCTGTGAGTTGGTCTAACATGAATTTGTGCTTGTATCATATTTTATTTTAAGGTGGCAAAATATTGAGGTCTTCATCCCTGGGTGGATCATCACCCTAAGAAATCATCTTGGACCATGAGGACCATCAACAGCAACCTTTCAGCATCAGATTTGTCTTCCGTAGGATTATGGGAGGATGTTACCACTACCAACATCCGGAGAGACCCGTGGATTGAACTTGTAGCCGATGTTAATGGATGGATGTAGGTGAGATGACCAACTACACATTTGTTTGAATGTTCACGGTTGGATCGATACTGTCTGTACTTTGATTCTTTTTCCATCGTTTGCTGGTTGAGAGGAATCATAGAATTCATATTCCCAGTAGACCTTATGATGATTTTTGGATTTAGTGACCCAATTCTTTGGGCTTATTGTCTTCGGATGGTGCCTATCAGTTTACGAATGTTTCGAGTCTTAGAACAGGAAAGAGGTTTGGCAGGTTGGAAAATGATATGACAGCTTTCAGTGGCCCTAAAAATCGAACTTTTTTTTTTGTATGGAAATGATCTTGGAATGATGCCACTTTTGCTGCTCCCTGCAGGTTCCGGGTGACCTCGGACCCGCGATCACACGCCCTCGTACTATTCAACGTCGTACAAGTCAACGTCAAACACTGTAGAGCTATTCTGAAAAGCTTGGAACGGCGTCACACGACACGGTTCCGTATAGGTCGGTCGACGCTCGACCCTAACCGCAAGGTACAAATCATTCTCCTAAAGAGTTGACAGTCATTAAATGACCATGTACGACCGACCCTCCTTTGCAGGTATAAAAGCTAACCCCCTAACCAGCTCTAGGGGATAGAGAACTCACTCTTATTCCACTCAAATCTAACTTAATCTTTGGAGGAGTCGAGTTGGGAAATCCCTCTCTCGACCCCGACCTGAGTGCATGAGCTGACGACAAGAAGCAAGTGACGAGGCCCCCAACTCAACCCAACCCGACACTCACTTCCGTCACCCGAGTCTTCACGTGGACAATCTTATAGATCCGAGATCGGATCGAGGAGTTCATCGACAATATTCTTCACCTCGATTTCTACGACACTCGCGATCTCTCTAGCTCACAATCCGGTAGTGGCTGAAGGCAAGGCTATACCGCCAGGTCTCAAGCATGCTGACTCTGAATCGGAGGAACATCTTAGTCCACACTGACTCCTTATCATTAGTCAACTTTATGAGTGGAACATCTTAATCCACTCTATGAGCCTTGCAGCTCATCCCACCCTCTTGTTAAGTTCTTTTGATGTTTATAAAAATATTTACTTCAAAAAAAGAAAGAATCACAACTTTTATTGTCATTGAGCTTTTTACAAAATGATATTATTTTCAACAATTTTATTTTTTATTTTTAAGAAAAAAAAGGAATATCAAAGTAGTTTAGTTTTAATTTTTTAATCAATTAATAAATGATGTTTGTATAAATTTAGTCAATTTTTGTCTTAGATTTTATTTATTTATTTATTTATTTTACACTTGGGTTCACATGTTAAACTAATTTATCTTATAATGATGGATTAATTTTTTATACTAATCTAAATATCTAATTACTTCGATAGGTAAGCACAGACTTAAGCCTCGTAGAACTCATCAATCCACTAATCATTTTAGCTTGCCAAACATACCACATGTGTTGTCATAAATGGAATTCCCATTGAACAGCCAGGCAAGGCAATGGAGGTGGGTGAGTTCAACTCACTCTCCACATTCCCATCCCTGTATCCATGGCCAAGAAAAGGTTGAGAGAGAGAGAGAGAGAGAGAGAGAGATGCATGTTTGACGACCTCCATTAATGTGCCACGTTTGCATCAACACATTACATTGACCTTCAAAACAGAGGCCATCACCCTTCATTACTGGTTTGGCCAATGAGACCATGGGAAGATGGATAAGTTAATTAATGGTCATGTGAGAGAATAGAAGCCATTTCATATAATGTTTAAGTCATATACATAAACTGGGAGATGTCTTATCTATTGAAGTTTTTGTGACTTTTATTGAATAAACATGTTTCTTGATGATAGACAGACATTCTTTTCTCATTTTATTCATTCAAAAATTTTGATCCCTCTTTCTCCACCTATAGATTTCGATTTGTTATCTGCATGTCTGATGTACATCAAAACCAAAGGGATTAATATTTTCGATGGATGAAGCTTTACATGTTCTTTAGTTTAACCAATGGGATTAATATTTTCTTTACAAAAGGTAAGCCATTTAGACAAGAATTATTCTCAAGTTCTTACTGTTATTAGTTGAGATTCTTACCATCACTAAACTAATATTTTGAAGAATAAAAAATATATATCAATTAATAGATTGATGTTTTCTAAATGGTAAATAATTACTTGATTGGCTTTTCTCTTTCTCATCAGCATTCTCCAGCAATCCCTGCAGAGAAAGGTCACATTCATCTCAATTCAATAAATCCAGCATCTCTGACAGGTGTAGTTTGTGGACTGGCTTTTAGGATTGATGCATTTGTTGAAGAGAAAGGTCACATTTGCAGACAACAATTTGTATCATTATCTGGCCCCTATAGTTATTTTTATAGTTTAATCTGGCTTTTAGGATTGATGCATTTGTTGCAGCTATGTCTACTGTTCTTGCAGATCAAAGCTTCTCTCTCTCTCTCTCTCTCTCTCTCTTCTGAGGGATAATCTAATGTTACAAATTTGCTGCAGAGTTCTGAAGCATCATGAAGTGAAAATATTTAGCACAATTCTATCTATTTTAATAGGAAGAATCCTTCTGCTAGTGCCAGTAATGTCAAGATTTCTGGACATCAACTTCTTTCTTTTCTAATGCAGCAGACTCAAGCTTTTGTTCCAATAACTTCCTAGTCAGAGAATTTAATTGTAGGACAACATGCAGGCATCAGAATTGAGGGCAAAATTTACATTGATCAGCCTCATACCTTGCATATACAGAGCTTGGTACTAGGTTTATTATTATTATTTTTTTCTACAACAAATATCAGAATAAATTCTTTATTAGAGAATAAGAACAATCAAAAGCAGATGAAAAGACTGGGAGAACATTGCAGATTGCATAGGAAATTTGGAATACTAGTCAAACCTGTTCAGAATAAGGAACACAAGTGAAGTGATTTTTGAGGCTCAAGATCTCAGTTGCACTCCATTCAGTATGCTAAATTTTGAATGCAATCATTCATGTAAGTTCAGATGCCAATCCAAAAAACATTCCCTGCAGCTAATTTGGATCCACCACCTGCCTTTCTAGTAAACAAAAAACAAGGAAGAAAATACTTGAATTGCAGGCCATAATTAGTGAAGGCCAATCCCAGTCTTACACAAGTCAAAACAGCCTATGAGATCCAATTTGGAAATGCCAACCTCATCATTTTCATTCCCAATGTTAATTGCCATAAACAATTGTTTTATTGTCTCATACATATTATGATCTGATACAGAAAGTAGACAGGATCATATGAACATGTTATAAATGAAATAGAACTGTGTAGATTTACATCCAACAGCAAAATCTCTTCTTCTTCTTCTTCTTCTTCAGCAAACAAACTTAGTAGAGCACTAAATTGAAGAAAAAGAAGTAAAAGAAAGAGAAACCATGAGAGCCATTCTTGTTCTGTCTTGGCTTCTCCTCCCATTTCTTATCCCTCGACACCATCATCTTCTTCTGCTTCTTCTTCTTCTTCATGGCCATTATTATCACTAGTCTTTTAGCTAATATTGCTTCTGGTAATGATGAAGATTAATCTGGGATTAAGTAACATTACAACACTGCATATGATCACGCCGACGCTGCCGCCCCCTCTTCTTCCTTGTCCTCCTCTCCGGCGTCCTTGTTGACCACTTTAGGAGTCTGTACACCGTAGTACTCGACGTACCACTTCACGAACTTCCTCAGCCCGGTGGCGAGGTCGGTGGTCGGCCGGTACCCGAAGTCCGTCTTAGCCAAGCTGACATTGGCGTGCGTGAAGGGCACGTCGCCGTTCTGCGGCAGCGTGACGACGTTCTTCTTGGCTTTCTTCCCAATCAGGTGCTCCAGGATGCTTACCATCTCCGCCACCGGCACCGGAGAGGTGTTGCCGAGGTTGTATACCCTGAGCTGGGCCGGGCCCCGCTTCTTGCCGCCGCCGGGGACGCCCGTGCTCTTTTTGGCGGTGTTGAGGGCGCCGAGGCAGCCCTTGACGACGTCGTCGATGTAGGTGAAGTCGCGTTGCACGGCGGTGCCGTCGGGCATTCGGAAGAGGGTGATGGGCTTCCCGGAGAGGATGCTCTTGGTGAAGGAGAAGTAAGCCATGTCGGGGCGGCCCCAGGGGCCGTAGACGGTGAAGAAGCGGAGGCCAGTGATGGAGAGGCCGTAGATGTGGTTGTAGGTGTGGGCGATGGCCTCGCCGGCCTTCTTCGTAGCGGCGTAGAGGGAGGCGGGGCGGTCGGTGCGGTGGATCTCGGAGAAGGGGGCCTCGGTGTTGAGTCCGTAGACGGAGGAGGAGGAGGCCCAGACGACGGCTGGCTGGGGGTCGGCATGCTTGGCGGCGACCTCGAAGAGGGAGACGAGGCCGGCGACGTTGGAGGCTACATAAGACTGGGGGTTGCGAGTGGCGTAGCGGACTCCGGCCTGGGCAGCCAGGTGGAGGACGTGGGAGAAGGGAACAACGTCGAACAGTTTCGCGAGGAGTGTGCCGTCATTAATGTCGGCCTCGAGGACGAGGACGCCGTGACTGGAGAGGAGGGCCTGGCGGGATCGCTTGAGTGCGGGGTCGTAGTAGGCGTTGAAGTTGTCGAGGCCGACCACGCCGTCGCCCCGCCGCTTCAGCGCGAGGGAGCAATGGGTACCGACGAATCCGGCGGCGCCGGTGACGAGGACGGATAGGCCATCAGGGCGGCGGGGGGCAGCGGAGCGGCGGACGTCCCGCTCCCAGTAGCCGCCGCCATAGGAGCCAGAGGAAAGAAGACTGCGGTGGTTGGAGTGAGGAGAGGAGGAGGAGTAGTGGGAGCTGGAGAGGAGGAGAGGAGGGTAATGGAGGAGGAAGAGGAAGATGAGGATGAGGGCGGCAAGGATGGTGGCGCGGAAGAGGAGGTGGGAAGAGGCCGCGATGAGCTTGGCGCTGCTGACGCGGCGGAGGAGGTAGCTGTTGTAGCGCTCGAGCTTGGAGCTCTTACTCGTGTCCGGCGGAGAAGCCATCATGTAGTATCAGCGCAATATTGACAATTGAGTTAGCGCCCCTCTCTCTCTCTCTCTCTGTGATGTTGAGATGGGTGCTGGA